GCACTGGTCGTTAAAAAGTAGAGCAGCCGGCCGCAGTTGCAGCCACGCTAGGCGACCTAGCCTGCATAGCCACTGCCGCTGGAGGTTAGGTATAGCGTAGCTGCAACGGCGGCTGGCTGCTGTCAGCACTGCAGACGAGACAGCTGCTAATTCTTTATAGCAACTGTCTCGTCTGCATGGTATGTATATTTTTTTTGTCATCATAAGCTTTTGGTACAAGGGATAGAAATTCATTTTCAACTACTGCTTCCGAGTTTCTTTTTCATCCTCGATCGACTTTTTTTCCACAACGCAATTGATCGACATAATTGTTTCTTCTGTCGTGATACGGTGGCTACTGACTTGCTAACTTTCAAGTCAAATAAAACTCTCATCGACCACCTACGTGTAATACTGGATCATGATCGGGGATCAGAATTTGTAATGCTAATTTCGAATATCATAAATAGTTTGTAATGCTAATTTCGAATAGTAATTGACTAGTTTTGAGATGGACAAAAACCACAAATCTTCGTAGTTCGCGTTTCGTGTTTGTCAGCTTGTAATGCCAATTCTGCATCTGTCATGCTACGCACGCGCATCCCGCGACATAGACCACAATTGTAGTTGCGTCACACAGCCGCGGCATGACAGGGCTTGTGAATATCCTGTCCACATAACGGCACAGAAATATTTTGGTTACACAGGTGAAACACGCAAAAAATCTTCCTATGAATGTGAGACAGGATTCATCGATTGGTGTGGAATAAAAGGTTTCAATTCACAACTTGAATACTTACATTTTGGATCGTCTATAAGTGTACATCAAAAACCGGAATTTCGTCCTTATTGACTTCTGACAAACATCGACAATTCTATACTAGCTGGTGAGCACATTTCGATTTTTTCCTATACCGTTCTTTAAGTGAGTGCTCAGAGTCGTGAGACTTATTTCTTCCCCTCTCCCGAAGTAGACTTACTCGAAAAGGAGAGAGGGTCGTCCATCTGATGAATGATTTGTGACTAAAGTAGTGCTGGTAGGCCGCTTTATGATGACAGTCATCTTACGTTAAAAATAGAAAAACAAAACAAGTACAGAACTGGCTGAGAAGAAGTTTGTTCACGGAAATAAAGTAAAGTCACTCCTGGTAGGAGGCATTCAGCTAGAATTTCAAACATTTGCATTTCAGAAAAAATATTAGTAGAGAGAAACCTATTGTACAATTTTGGAGGAAGAACAGAAGAATAAAAGAAGACCACTACTACATTTTTCCGCAACTATACTACAGCGGTTAACGAAATAAGACGCCCTACTTTACTTCACCTCCTTCGAAAAGCGGAAATAGAGTTTCTTGGCCAGCAGCCGGTGCTTCTTTGACTTCGCATACCAGGCAGCGTCATGACCGTGGTGACACTATGCATTGCAAATATCCAGGGTGGCTGGATTTGTGATGCGAAATTTGAAGGACAGCTGGATCTGTGATGCATGAAGAGGATTGGCACGTTTTTTTGTCCCATGCTGGAAGACAGTTTGTCATGCTATTCACGAATGAAAATGAATGCACAAGAAGCCGAGGAAAAGAACTTCTCATGCTGTTATGCCGTACAAGCGGCCACCCTGTGTTGCAAGTATCAGCACCACAAGTTTCCAGACCGAGACATACTTGCATTTGATAGGCACTTCTGCTCCGGGTCCGCTCCGTAGTGCAGGATTAAGAAGTATCAAGTGCAAAAATGTCTGGGTCTGGAAGAGTGTAGACTTGTCATGCAGATTTTCCATGACCCATGAGGTCAGGAATGCGGGACTGAGCATGACAGACTCTGCGAGGTCTCTGCCATGCCTAAGTATTCTGCATGAGAAAGTCCGTTCCAACTTGGTCAAAAGTGGACAGCTTTTGGCATTCATGCAACACAGATTTTTGCATGCTTCAGATTTGTCATGACAAGTTACCATCTTCCAGACCCAGATATTTTTGCAATTCATAAGAAATGGCACAGGTCTTCCTTCCCCGTTTTCGCGGCGTAGTGCAAAATGGTCTGTCCGTTGTTGGGCCACTTGTTGTCGAGTGCTTTCCAGCCCTATCAAAATGAAAAATCCCCCCTCCCCATATCAGAATGGGGATTTGTGTAGCCTAGCATGATTTGTGAACACAAATCATTTTGTCATGCTAGAAGGCAAAAGATAGATGCAGACCCTGTAGTTCTGGCTGGCGTGGGAAGGCTTTGCATCTTCAGCATGACAGGAGGCAACTGGAAATGGAAAACAGCATGAAAAATCTCCTACAATTCAGGCCACAACTACTTCCAACGGCCTTCTCGCAATACAAGTCTATTTGTGTACGCAACTCCGGCATCACAGATGTCCTTTTCGATATGGGGCGGGGAGAATTTCCCTTACGATAAGCCCTGGTTGTTGAGCATCTTGAAGCACTTCTTGTACTCCGCCGGCACCGATTCCTCAGCTTATCCTGTGCAAAAGTATCGTACTCGGAGTATAATTGCATTTATGCATTACAAATCTCTTTCTCAAGGTAAATCCGCATTACAAATTGAATTTGTAAAATGCTGGGCTAATTTGTGATGCAATTGATACTACACTAGTACGATGCTTTTGCATTGCATACGGCTTCGTACGGGGACATGATGTCACTCGCTTTGATCACTTTCTCCTGTATGAGAGTGCACAACTCACCCTCCCTTTATCTGTATTTTATTTGCATGAACAGCAATACAAACACTTGCACGAGTGCAGCCTGTGCATGACAAATTCAGGCACCTAGTTTAGTACTGCTTGGTCGCTGTCCGGAATCTGTGATGCATGCTAGTGCCGCAGGGAAGCACTTGGATTCTGGATTTTGCATGAGAAATGAGAACGAGGGGGGAGTTGTGCAGTTTCATATCCTGGCCGGCCACGTTAGAAGGCATACCGGATTTATCAAATGTAAAAATGTCTGGGTCTGGAAGATTCTGAGACTTGTCATGCATGTTTTGCATGACCCAGGACGTCTGTAATGCACGCCCTAGCATCACAGATTTTTAGACGGCTTCCTGATGCCTACTCCGCATGACAAACGCCCTCCCCGCGTAGCACAAACTAGACCCCTGCTCTTGCTGGTCATGCAATACAGAGTTTTTTAGAGACCGAAGTTAGCATCACAAGTTCCAACCTTCCAGACCCCGACATTTTTGCGTTTGATAGGATTTCTCATCCAGCAAATCGTTGCTGTTCGCGCCGTCATCCAGCTTGCTCTGGGCCTGCGCCTTCTTAGCCGCTTCCAGCTTCTTGCGCAACTATCGTGAGATAAAATCCCCCCTCCCCATATTGGAAAGGACATTTGTGATGTCGGATTTGCGTACACAAATCGACTTGTTATGCTAGAAGGCCAAGCGACGCAATTGTGGCCGGAATTGCAAGCAGTTTGTCATGCTGTTTGCCACTTCCAGTTGCCTCCTGTCACGCTGAAGATGCAAGGCCTTCCCACGCCGGCCAGCACTACAGTCCGCATCTTTTGCCCTCTAGCGTGACAACGTGAATTGTGCTAGCAAATCATGCTACACAAATCTCCGTTTTAGTATGGGGAGGAGGGATTTTTCCTTTTGATAACTGCTCCGGATTCTTCTGCAGCTGGTACTTCCACTCCTTCTATGAGAGTGCACAACTCCCCCTCCCCCTCATTTGTCATGGAAAATACCAATTCCAAGCGCTGCTGCGTGGTACTGTTTGCATGACAGATTCCGGAAGCCCAAACAGTACTGCACTGAGCGCATGAACTTGTCATGAACAGGCTCCACAGGTGGGGGTGTCTGTATTGCTGTTCATGCGATACAAATGAGGGGGAGGGGGGTTGTGCACTGTCATACCTTCGCGAAAACCTGTTCGTTCGCCGGATTCGAAAAGTCGATCTCCTCCGCCGGAAAACTGACCATCAGCGCCGGGATATCCAGAGGAAAAACGTCTTCAAACCTGAGTCAAGATGGGAACTCCACATCGGTGCCGTAATTGCAACCCATTTTTTGCCCAAGAGCAAGAATTATGTTCCCTGATTCCAGGAAAAAAATCATTTTTCCCAGGATCTAAAACTGCGCTTTTGGCTTTGCAATTCGGTACCTGAATTGCAAGCCACTTTTTACCCGAGCGCGATAATTCGGGACCCTAATTCCGGGAAAAAAATCATTTTTCCCAGGATCTAAAACTGCGCTTTTGGCTTTGCAATTCGGTACCTTAATTGCAAGCCACTTTTTGCCCGAGCGCGATAATTCGGGACCCTAATTCCGGGAAAAAAATCATTTTTCCCAGGATCTAAAACTGCGCTTTTGGCTTTGCAATTCGGTACCTTAATTGCAAGCCACTTTTTGCCCGAGCGCGATAATTCGGGACCCTAATTCCGGGAAAAAAATCATTTTTCCCAGGATCTAAAACTGCGCTTTTGGCTTTGCAATTCGGTGCCTTAATTGCAACCCACTTTTTGCCCGACCGCACGAATCATGTTCTGTGCATGGCAAATTCTGTTGCAAGCCACTTTCTGCCCGACGTGCATGACAACTCTGGAATGGGGACGTTTTTGACTCCGGGTACGAGAACTCTTCGAAGAGCGAGTTTTTCTTCTTCGGGTTCGCCAAATCAATGGCCTTCTTGCCGAAATCGTCGATCACGTGCACCTGCTGCTTGATAATCGTTTCGTCCAGGTTCAGCACCAGGTAGTCGAAGAGAGGCTATCAAGTGCAAATATGTCTGGGTCTGGAAGATTGCCAGGCTTGTCATGCATGTCTTGCATGACCCATGACGCCTGGAATGCATGGCCGAGCATCACAGATTTTTAAAGGGCTTTCTGATGCATATTCCGCATGAGCAATGCCGTCTCCGCGTAGCACAAACTGGGCTCCTTTTGTTGGTCATGCAATACAGATTTGTCTAGAATCCAAAGATAGCATCACAAGTTGCAACAGTCCAGACCCAGACATCTTTGCATTTGATAGGGGCTTGTTATTCTTTTTCGCCGCGTAGTGGAAGAAAGTGCCACCGCCGGTCTTGTGGGCCAATATGCATTGCGAATATGTTTGGGTCTGGAAACTTGTGATGCAAGGACGGGAAAAATAGTGATTACACTTTAATGCGCTGCCAAGCATGACAAGTTTTTCCGTGGTTCTGAGTAGCGTACTCCGCATGTCATGCGGAGTACGCTACTCAGAACCACGGAAAAACTTGTCATGCTTGGCAGAGAAACTGCGTTTTTGCATGACAGGCGAGCGGAGCTCTTCGCGGCCACGCAATACAGAGTTCAGAGTGATGCCAGACTAGCACGACAAATCTCGCAATCAATCTCCCAGACCCAGACATATTTGTATTTGATAGCCAGCTGCTGCTGGCAATTCTCGTTGTCGAACCCGAGTTCCTTGCACATCCGAAACATCTTCCCGTAAAAGTCGCACAGCCCAAAGTCGTGTTATGCAATGCAAAAGCATGATCCTACTAGTAGAAATTGCATTACAAATTCCCACAGCATTACAAATTGAATTTGTAATGCTGATTTACCTTGGTTGATGTAATGCATAAATGCAATTACTACGAGTACGATACTTTTACACGGGATACGTGCTCCTCGTCGTAGATCTTCGTGCCGTCCGACCGGCCCGATTTGTTGGACGCCATGGACTATGCAATGCAAAAGCATCGTACTCGTATAAAATAAATGCATTACAAATTTTCTCAGCAAGACGAGAGAAAATTTGTAATGCGGATTTTCCTTGAGGAAAAGATTTGTAATGCATGATTGCAATACGAGTACGATACATTTGCACAGGATATGGACTCTTTGCTCATCATAGACTGCCGCAGCTGGTCCTTGTTCGGGACCAATTGGATCATGATCTGCCCGTTGCTGAATATGCATTGCAAACACGTCTGGGTCCTCTGGAAGGATGCAACTTGTCATGCTAAATCCGAACCGTGCAAAAATCTGTGTTGCATGAGTGGCAAAAGCTGTCCACTTTCGACGAAGTTGGGAGGGAGCTTCTCATGCAGGACATTAGGCATGACAGAGACCTCACAGAGTCTGTCATGCTAGGTCCCGCATTCCGGACCTCGTTGGTCATGGAGAGCCTGCACTCTTGGAAATTCCCTACTACCGCTCGGGGGAGCTGGAACTTTCGCGAGACCAAACGAGATGGCAAGCGAGGTCCGCGCGCCCCCCCTGGAGGTGAGATACGAGGGTGGCCCTGTGTTGTGATCTGCAATCTGCATTAGACCACACAGGAAATGAGGAAGTTGGAGAAGGATCAGAAATGATCTGGAGCGACACTATGGAACGCTCCAACAACCTCAGCCAACCACTGCCCTCGCATTCACAAGAGACCTGCCGAAACAGACTCAACTCCGGGAAGCCTTCCCGAAGCCGACCTCTAAGTTCGGCCTGGTCGGCCACGAGGCAATGTCCTCAGGGGCCGTTAGGAACCTCCCGAAACAATCGTCAACGAGCTTCAGCGCCAAGAAGCCGCTGACGAAAGAAACGCACAGACTGTTCCCAGTGGCAAGAACAGAAAGGCAGGGACATAGGTGAACCGACAGTGACACCAACTCGACCAAGGTAACCCAGAGTTCCGGACCCGGGGAAAACTGGGGACCACGCGGCAGAAGCACAGCACAAAGACGCCTGAAGTGTTCCCAACCGCCAGTCAAGCAGCAGCCAAAAGTCAACGGAGGCAGCAGCAGAAGCCACTCAGGTACTCCACCGAAGACAAGAGGAGCCGCAAGACCCAGAGCAAGCTCCGACGGCCACAACAGACGCTTCTACTGTCGCAACACCACTGGGGACGAAGACAGAGGGCAAGGCAAGAGCCTCGCGCAACGGGAATTTCCCACCAAGCCATGTCAACGACCTCACATGAGAAGGCGCACCAGAACGGCCACGAGAGGGGTAGACATAGGACATCCAGCATCCAGACACGTCGCCAAGACCGAAGGCGGTGAGCAACACCCATCATCTCGTTTGCGGGATCCGTCGCCATGCGTTCATGTTGGTCGGCACTGGCCTCCACTCGTATCTCGTCCCCGTGGTGAACCCAGACATGGCTACTACCTCGAACGAGGGAGCTGGAAATGCCGCGCGCGCTCGCATACGCATCTGGGGCGCGGAACTCAAGATACGTCCAGCAGCCCGCCGACTCCACTACCGTAAGCCATTTAGGAGTACCCGCGCCGCCTCGCGAAGCTCCTATGGTCCCGCGCTGGCCTGCGTTGCTGGGCCACTGTCCTGTGCGCAAATGCCCAGAATCCAAACACGCTCTATCAGGGGTGCCGCTAGAGTCACAGCAGGGACTTTACGCGCACAGACTATCAGGTCTGCCCTGGATTCTGGGGGTGGGAGAGATGCGGCGACAGCGCAGGCGAATCTTGGTCGAGCGACAGCATCATCTTCCAGGGTCCACAGGAAGAGCGGGCACCTGTGATTCAATTGAGGCAACGGCGGGGACGGACATGTTCCGCCCCCGTGCACACAACAACAGAGTAGCAGACCGGCCAAATGATTGAAAGAGAGAAGGAGACAAAACGAAGCTACTTCACATGCAAGGACTTAAGAGGAGGAAACCAAAAAGCACAATAAAAATAGCTCTATACTACTTTGCTCCCCCCAAAAGATCGCCGTCGCATGGCCGTGGCTCCAGCGCACGCTCGCGTCCCGTGATGCGCCACACGGCATCTGCTGATGCGCGGACCCTGCGCGGAAGATGTCTTCCCGAAAGCGTCCGACTCCACCCATGCTGGGGATTGTGCGGGGCCGCGTGTGGTGACCAGCCTTCTCATCGAAGACAGTAACGAAGCCCCCTTTTCCGCTCGTGTTGTGCTTTATACCGAGGTCCATGCTATGCTTGTCATGGCGCCTGCCAAATCCACCGGCAGTCATTGTCGGCGTGGCGGTCCTTTACCGTGCTTCTGGGCGTGGGCAAGACGGTAAGTCGATGGCTGTCGTCGGAGGAGAGGCCATGTACGATTTCAGTGTGCGCACGGACGCTCGGGGCGCCGATGCTCTAGCTAGTACTACTGTAAAGGGGCACAGAGGACCCGCCACGTACGGGTGTTTATCTACTTTCGTTTCGAAACTCCACTGCAGGGAGTCGGGGGAGGTACCGACGTGGCGTCAGTGGTAGTTGTAAAACAATTTAGAAGATGAGCAACAGAATGGTCCTACTCTACGGCATAGCTCCCCCTGTTCTACATTGATGGATCTCAGGCAACAAGACAAAGTCTTGAGCCAAAATGGCTACGGGTTTACATTCTTGGAGAGCCTGCATGGAGAGCCTGCATGACAGGTTTACATTCTTCCAGATGTATAGACGTATTTGCATTTGATACTGAAGGGGTTGTCGCTAAACATGGAGGTGTTCACATTGTCGTCCCACGAAATGGATCCTGTGCAAAAGTATCGCACTCGTAGTAGTAATCGCAGTAATGCATTACAAATTTCTTTCTTAAGTTAAATCCGCATTACAAATTTTATTTCTCAAACTGAGGAAATTTGTCATGCGATTTATACTAGTAAGTACGATGCTTTGCATTTGATAAAATGGAGCGGTTGTTGAGGAAGGCATTGTTCGTCCCATTCATCGGACTGTCGTCGTCGAAATTTCGAGTGAAGCCGCCCTGGGAATTTGTGAAAGTGCTTATCCTCCTGGTCCTTGCCATCCTCGCCCGGCGAGGGGGGAAGGCGAAACCTCGCAACGTCGGGTTGCATCACCCCTTTCTCGTACCACTCGTTGCAGGTATTCAAAAGTGGCTGAAGTACGTTAGCCGAAGCATCTCTTCTTCCCGTCTGGTCGTGGAGGAAGCCCACACGAGAGACCAACGCCGGCAGATACACGTATTTGATCAGCAGGTACTGCTCCGAGAATTTGAATACGTTTAACGCATCCGGCGGCAGGCCTGGGAGACCGGACTTTACGCGCTCATCTTCCTGCCTGGCTGCCATGTCCGCATCTCGGATGGCGATTTGAAAAAGGGACTCGTACTTCTGCGCTGTTTTGGAAGATGCGGAGGAACTTCTCTGTGAGGCCGACGGCCCCTTGTGATCTCCGTTGAAATTGAAGCCTATGCATTGCAAAAATGTCTGGGGCTGGAACGAAGCAACTTGTCATGCTAAATCTGAATCATGTGAAAATCTGTGTTGCATGATTCCCAAAAGCCATCCACTTTTGACCTAATCGAGAGACAATTTCTTATGCAGGATAGACATGATAGAACTTCCACAGAATCTGTCATGCTATGTCCTACCTACCTGACCGCACGGGCCATGGAAAACCTGCATGACAAGTCTGGCATTCTTCCAGACCCAGACATTTTTGCATTTGATAAAACCGATTCCCGCACGATTTGGGTTCTCCGTTTCCTGCTCGAAGGCCGATTTGTACCGGTTCACGAGCATATGGATTGTAAAAGTGTCTGGGTCTGGAAGGTTGCAACTTGTCATGCTAATTCTGGATCATGCAAAAATCTGTGTTGCATGAGTGCCAACAGCTGTCCACTTTCGACCAAGTTGGCAGGGAGTTTCTCATGCAGGATAGGCATGGTAGGGATCTCACAGAATCTGTCATGCTGGGTCTCGCATTCCAGACCTCATGGCTCATGGAAAATATGCATGACAATGCTAGAAATCTTCCAGACCCAGACATTTTTGCATTCGATAGAGCACGATTAGCTGCGAAGCCCAGTTGTGAAAATCCTGGGCCAGGAGGTGGTGGACCTCGCGCCAGTCTTGTTGGCCCCAAAAATTGACGATTGTAGATTCGCGAGTTCTACAACTACTTCCGTGGTTGGCGTGGGCGGCGAGAGCAGCAAACACTTTTTGTGCAACGGGAAGTGCGCAGATGGTTCCCGACCAGTCGTGCAAAAGCATTGCTAGCACGTCGACCAGCGATTGCTGGGCCAGCCTGCCGACCGTCTCGTACATAACGCGCGTGATGGTGTCTATCTTCGCGCAGCTCTCCTCGGTGCCGGAATCATCGCGCCTGAAGAGGAGAGTTGCAAGCTCGTCCATTTTCGCTAGGTAAATATCCAGAATTTCTCGAAGCTCGTCGTCATGCGCAACGACCGGCTGTCGCTCAATCTCGGTCTCGGCAACACCACGATACGAGCGGGAGAGTATCTTCGCGGAGGCGCGATCAGGACTGCGGCCTTGCAATTTTTGAATGCAGCCTCCAACCATGAGAGGGGAGCCAGACCGCTCCACGCACGCCAGATTCGTAAGCATTGCAATGCTAGATCGCCGAACCAAGTGCAAGCACGCGGGCTTCAGCTTGAGCTGAGCGCTTTCTTTCTTCTCGCCGTAGTAAGGCAACAAATTTACCACGTAGCGCTTGCAGGCTTCCCGCTCCCCCGCTGACAGAGTTGTGTCCGATACTTCTCCAACAACCTCTGCATACCGGCCATTCAACTCTGGACGCGACTGTAGATCCTGTACCAAAATTAGGTCACCTTTGAAAAAAAGCGACGACGCTAACATTTTTGCGTGGTCTTGTTCAGCGGTCTTCTTTTTGATTCGCAGAAAACGGTGCGAGCCACGTTCACTTATCGGACACTGCTCGCACTTCGTTAGCATGTACTGGTAGACCGGGGTGATCGAGACCAGAAACCAGGCACTCACCGTGAACAGTTCTATT